GGAAAAAAAAAAGTTAAGAATTTGAGAATTTGCAAACAAGATATATCCTGGTTCGGTCACCACCACTTGTGACCTAAGTCCAGATTGAAGTTGCTCGAACATTTCACTGACGGTCAAGCTTTACGAGGCTTGACAAACCTTTATAATCCACTAAGTTCACGAGTATTTGGCAATCTGACAATTCTCTCCAAATTTCCTTGAGTATTTGGCTACTTTCAAACTTAATGGGTTTCACAACCCTTTCAACTCAATCATACAAGGAGGAAGTGTTTGAAATTGGATATGTACTCTCAAAGGCCTAATGGTAGTGATGTATTTCAAGAATGGAGCTCAAAAGCAATTAATGATCAGGAATATAAGTAAATAAGTGAAAAGAGAGTTGGTGCAATGAAATCAATCAATAAATGCTCAATGATAAATGTAATAGTGATTAAAATTGATTAAATGTGTAATAAGTAAGTATATATAAGTTTTCACCAAAATTTAGTCATTAGTCGTTACATAGCTTACTAGCTAGTAAGAATTAGAATCCCTAGATTCGAATCCTTTTGTGAGGGATTCGAATCCCTATTTTGTAGGAAGGATGACTCATAAAGGATTTGAATCCTTTCAACTTATAGGGGGTGTTTGGTAGGGATACCCAGGCAACTTGAAATGGTTTTTCAACTTGACTACGTTTGGTACAAGAGATAAAAAAATTTAGGCAGGAAAATCCTTTACCCAGCCAACGTTATTTGTTTGCAAAATTTCTTGTTTAGCACTGTTCCAGAAAACCATATTGACGGTGGTATTTTGGGTTTACTGGGGAAAGGAAAAAATAATCTCCAATTTGGTGACGAAATTGTCCCTAGTCTACTGTTGAAAGTGTCTTTCGACTCTCTTTCTTGTTTAGTTGCTCAGAAAATGAAAGAACATTTTGCAGAAGCCTATTAGACGGAAAAAAACAGATAAAAAAAACACAAGAATTCCAATGATAGCATAAACAGGAAACCTCTTATCAAGAGAGAAAACTGAACTGAAGTTGTCTTACAAAAATCGCATACAAACCCAACAAGATAGAAAAAAATCTCGAAAGACCTAGATGGATTTAAAGGCTTCTCTCTGGAACAGAATGATAAAAATCAAAACTTGCAGAAGAGAAAACAAGATGGTACCTAAATGAGCAGAAAAAATCGTAAAGAACCAACAATTTTAAGAACAATAATTGGATAATCTTTTGGCAAGGGTTAATCTTTCATTTCAGATTCAAAAATTTTACAAGGGTTATTTCCGTCATTTCAATCCATTTTCCCATCAATACTTTACATTCAACCAAACATAGATTCAGAAAATTTAACCCAATTTTCCTGGTAATATTTTGACCTACTAAATAACTTTTTTTTTAATTTTCCTACCAAAATCACTTTCCCACCGTATTACTAGTAATTGTATTTCCCCAGTAAAAAAAATTACTCATCTACCAAACACCTCCATAGTGAGGGAGAGATTTGAATACCTTATTGACATAGGGAAATTATGAAATCCAAAATGACTTGTCTTTTATTCGAATGCTTCAAACCTTCTCAAATGCATGATCTTGACTTGGAAAAAAAGAATTCAAGGTTCTAAGACATGTCAATAACATTTTCCATGGGTTTTTCAATCATTTTCAAGAATCAAAAGCCATATATCATGCTTTGAAAAATATGTTTACTTTGAGCTCATTCATGCAATTTTGACCAACTACCTTTATATTTTAGTCTAAGTCCTATAAATGTACTACTTGTAGGCTCTTGGACTTAGGTTCTTCCATTATAGCTTGAATTTTTATCTCCTTTGAGCTTTGTCAATTAACTTGATGGACTTTACACATATTGACTTGTCTAGTTGTCTTCTTAGACTTCTTTTTATTGTTGCAAGTTGTAATAACCTTGATGTCTCCTTTTCATGCTCATTTGTTATTGTTGAGATATATAGTCCAACATTGATTGTGTGGACAACTAATGTGGCCTTTATAAGGCCTTGGGCACTCCCACCCTTGGAGCTAACTTTTGGGGTGGTGTATCCCAAGATTCTTTACATGGTTCTCTTGTGGCGTTTCTTAGCACAGGTAGGCTGAACCTGTTGCATTGTCCACTCTTCAAGCCCAATGGGCTCTCGTGTGAGGGGGCGTGTTGAGATATATAGTCTCACATTGATTGTGTGGACAACTAATGTTTTGGGCACTCCCACCCTTTGAGCTAGCTTTTGGGGTGATGTATCCCAAGGTTCTTTACAGTTATCATCAAAACTCTCGCATCCTTATATTCTTCATCTTGATTGCATTAGTTCCATAATTTCTGTTTTTAGGATGTTGATGTTTTAAATTAAAAGAGATTTTTCATATTGTTTAATGTTGTAATTCTGTGTTTAAAGTTACCCTGTTTTGGTCAATCAGTAATGGCTTACTTAAGGGTATAACAAATGTCTTGGATCTTGCATTGAACACGGGTACTTTGAGTGAGAAATCACTTCAAAGTCTTGCTTCAAAAATGAAGAAGACACTCCTTGTAATGCAATCATCATGTGGTGTAATGTCTTCTGCTTAATCCTTTCACATACATGTGTAAAGGATTAAGTCTTGAAGAGAAATAGATTTTTGTTGAGAAACAAAAATTAGCCATCGTATTTTCATTAAGCTGGAATAATTGTTGGAGCTACAAATTACAATCTAGTGTTCTAATAACAGAGGAGGGTGGGGAAATGAATACCCACCTTTACTTTCCAAACTTGTTTTAGAAATTCATTTTTCTAAGTTTTCAATTGGAGTTTGATTTTAATTTACGCTTTTGAAATTTGTTTTCTAGTTTTGTTATTGATCCAATTTCATAAAAATTTCCTATTGTCTTTTGTTAATTTGTTTCAATTTAATTTGCTAGTCTTTTAATTTTTTTCAAAAGTTTTTTTTAAAATTTCCAAAGCAAAAACTTGTTAACCTTTTAGTAAATTAGTATTTAGATATAAATTTAAGTTTCTCTTTTCCTTTTAAGCAAATTACAAAGTTCTTACAACATAAAAGACATCATAATCCTCATCGGAACGATTTTTAGATCCAATATACCTTTTTTGCTACTTGTTGATGCATACACTTGTGTGCATACTTGCATAGTTGTTAGCAAGGTAACAACTTCTTAGTCTTCCACCCCTGTAAAAAGATCTTATTTCATATATATATGAATATAAACAATGTGTGTGAGGTACAATCATTTTATACAAGTGTAAGTTTAACTCTCAATGTCGGTCAATGATATCACTTACAACTAATTCATGTGATGTGACTAATAAATTACGGTCAATAGATGCACTTGAATATAGATGCAAGTATAAATGAGTCCTTTCCTCATAAATGAAGTTATACTTATAACAACCTCTTACAATTATGTCTTTATCATTAGATCATAATCAAATCAATAATTACAACATGATATCAAATAAGAGCTATTATTTTGATTTTGATCTAATAATAATAAAATAATTATAAGAGTATATACATATTGAAAAATTGGGTATCCAGCCACTAGATATAAGGTTTTTTTATCAACGCATTATAACTATGTACTCTAGAGAATACATAGTTATAATGTTAAAGTTGTACTTTTTTCTCTCTTCAAAAACTTGTCTATTGACATAAAAAGAGAAAAAAAATTACAACTTTAATAAACCTTATATCTAGTGTAGTAACTAGACACCATATATATATATATATATATATATATATATATATATATATATATATATATATATATATATATATAGAGAGAGAGAGAGAGAGAGAGAGAGAGAGAGAGAGAGAGAGAGAGAGAGAGAGAGAGAGAGAGCAAGTTATTCTTACCCCGATGTAAGACTAAAAAATCTTATATCCAATCTTGACCATAGCCATTAGATATAAATAGGATAAATTTGAAAGTATAACTTACACTATTATAAAATAATCTTATATATGGAAAAAGTGTTTACTCTGGCACAAGAAATTAAGTTATCTCTTGCAATTCCAAAATGACGTTATTTTGGGGTTTAAAATAAAAAATAGAAGGTATTTTAAAAATTTTACTTTCCTTTTATAACATATATTTTTACTAAAATATCATTTATTTTTTATTCTAAATCAAAAAAAAATTATTTTGAAATTGTAGGAGATAATCTTATCTCTTATCATAGAAGAAACGTTAATTCCTATATATATTACGGCTAAAAATTTTTTGTGGGTTATGTCGCATTACGTTTTATGTATTACTGCTTCCTCTTATGGTGTCTTGGTAAATTCATAGAAGGAGAAAGGAAAAATCATTAGAAGTTGATAAACGTGCTAAATTCGACGACCATGTGATATGTTGAATTGGTTGACCAAGTGCAAGTTTACTTCAAAATCAACATTTAAAAATTAATTGAAATTCAGTATGAATTCTTATTGTGATTATAATTATTCAGTTAAGATTTTTAGCACTAAACTATTATGGGAACCAGTTCAAATATAAGTTACTTAAAAATAACTTTTATAGTTTAATACGACTAATTTCGATGTAGAATAAAAAAAAACATTCATATAATTAATTTGTTTATCATCTACACCAAACATAAACAGTCCGAACAAAAAAAAAAAAAAAGAGCATGCAGGGATTCTCCGAAATTTGGCGTCACAAAAGAGTGGTTAGCCCCTAGGATTTCCAATACATATTCATGTGTTTTACTCTTTCATACGTAGTCCATGACAATGACTTACAAGTATGAACCATGAAACAGTCATCGATTCCATTCAATGTTGATTTGGCAGGCACACCTCTCTTTTGTTTCTGTTTAGTCAATTACGTCATCGTCATGCTTCATGCCACGAAATTTCCTCTCCTTTGCAATTCCATTTACGCGTCTCTTTATTTTATTTATCGTTTACTTTTATTTTTTTAATTTGTTACAAAAATTCAACCATACGAATATTCTTAATGTACCCATCACTTTTATTCTAGTCAAAGCCAACAGTCGTAATTTCCCAGCTACCTCTTGTCCATTCTCTGAGACTACTATATGATCCTCGTTTTCAATTCTTCTACACTGAGTTTCCGTTTTGGACTTTGATACACTCTGTAAATAGGTGATTACTGGTTTCTTGAAGCAAAGAAGGCTTTGCTATACTATGTTTTTGGTTCTCACATGTCAACATGTTATAGCTTTCATTTGAACCAAGCTCAGTTAGCTAAAAGAATCTAATATTTTTTATGTTTTTATTTTGTTGCTGTTTTGTTTCCTAAAGTTATATTAAAGTTGCTTAATCACTCCCCCAATGGAGATTAAAGTAGAAGCCGAATTTGTGCAGGTGTAGAATTTTTCTTCAGCTAATTTCCCTTAGGAAAATAATGGGGTCGGTTTGTTCAGGCGGTGTGGCTGGAAAAAATAAAAATGAAGAGCTTGAAAGGAAGAACTTGGGGTCCGAGGGGAAGCCTAAGAAGTTAAAGAACTTTGAAAAACAGAAAGAAGAATCTTATTTAAATTCAAGGACTACTGCACGTGCTAAAAAGCAAAACAATTCGTACTCTGGATTTTCTAGTGAATTGAAGAAATCCAATCCCAGCTCAACAGGGGGAAAACAGGTATAATTTAATTGTGGAGGCTGATTGTGGGATAATTAGAAACATGTTTGCAATATATAAAGGAGCAATTATGAATAAGTTGGAAGCTCTGAAAAATTGCATATTTATTACATTTATGCACTTTATTGTTGTTTTGACTGAAGATATGTCGCCAAATTTTATATGAAGGAGGAGAAGGTGTTTTCATCCTATCCTATAATCATTGAAGTTTGACTAGGGAGACCTTAATTAGTATCCCCAAACAGTGCATTTATTTGTCAGTTGTTTGCTTCTTTTATTTGATTTTGATTTTGATTGTGCTTGGGGTTCGAGTCTGGGAAATAGTTTTTTGTAAAGTTTTGTGCAGCGGAGTTTGTCCTTTTATTTGAGTTCCTTGAATGGCATCTCATATTTTGTTATGGGGTCTTTGCATTTGAATTATGATGTTACACATTTTGATTTATGATGTTTCTTCTTTTCGTAGTTCCCCAGGAGAGGCTCATTTGCGGGAAGAGCTGGTGGGAAGGTAGTTGAAGTTCTGGACACACTAGGAAGTAGCATGCCAAAGTTAAACAACAGTAATGTTTTTGGCTCTAGCACGGCTCCTAGAGGGAATAAGATATCTATATTGGCATTTGAAGTAGCTAATACAATCAACAAAGGTGTAATTTTGTTTCAATCACTGTCTGAAGAAAACATTCAGTTACTTAAAAAGGAGATTATAGAATCAGAAGGGGTGCAAAAAATAGTTTCTAATGATACAAAGGAGTTAATAAGTCTTATTGAGGCTGACAAAAGGTTCTCACTTGTTCACAGCATCATAATCTTTTTTCATGGAGCTTGAAAAATTGACAAAAGGTGCTTTGCTTTCTCTAATGTTCTTTATCTCTGAATTTTGGGGGAATTTGTAGGGAAGAATTCAATATCTTCTCCAAGGAAGTAGCCAGATTTGGAAATATATGTAAAGACCCTCAGTGGCATAATCTAGATCGATATTTCTCAGGGTGAGTTTACTTGCTTCTACTTGCTGGCTCAGAAGCTTATGACAAGATTATGCTAGTTATTAAATAATTACAAATATTTCAGATTAGATTTGGATGTCTTGGGCAACAAACAGTCTAGGGTAGAAGCAGAAAAGACAATGCAGGTGTTAACCGCTCTAGCTCAGAATACTGGTGTAAGCAAATTGTAATTTTAAGATTAAAGTTTTGCTTCTATGATTTATCTCGTTAGTTAACTAATAATGACTGAGCAAAGAGAAAAGTCATTATGTCAATATTTGCTAAGTGTTTAATTTAAACTATGATTGATGTTGTTTGTGTTAGTAGTGTTTTCTACTTCTGATATTCTTTTTTAGCTCTGTATTGGTCAGAGTTATGCTTTACTCTTCAATTTTTTAGCTCCTTCGTTCTTCTTTTTTGAACCTATAACCTCGTACAAACTATCCAAACCTTTTATTGTTAGACTAACTCTAATGGCTTAACTATTGTTCTTCTTTCTGTGTAGGAATTATACCATGAGTTAAATGCGTTTGAGCGTTTCGAACAAGATTATCAACAAAAGTTTAAGGAAATGGAATCCTTAAATCTTCCTCTCAACGGTTAGAAACTTCATAATATAGTTTTCCCTTAAAATTTTCAGACACTTTCATTTCCAATGATAGTTTTAGTGTTTATCATGTGCTAGGATTAGTATCTTTCTTACATTTCCAATAATCTGCAGTAATTAACTATTTTTTGACATGTCAGTTTGTTTATAATTGTAGGAGAAAGTATTATGGCTTTTCAGAGTGAGCTAAAGCATCAAGGAAAGCTTGTGAGCAGCTTGAAAAAGAAGTCCCTTTGGTCCAGAACTTTGGAACAGGTATACCATTGTTATTCTAATAATTTTAAAATTTATGTAAAAGGGATGAACCAGAGCAGTGATAAAGCTATTTTTTCATGACCGAAAGGTAATGTGTTTCACCCCACACTTGCTGGTCGGATTTAACGAGGAGTGATTTTTTTATAGGAAGGAATATTTCCTCATTTGAATCTTATCTTTTTTTAATTCATTCTTAATTTCCATTTTCCTACATTCCCTTGCCTGAATGGAGAAGTTGTGCATATCAGTGCACAAGTAAGTGTTTTGTTTCTGCATATTTTACGACAGAGGATTTATCTGTTGGATTTGCTTTTTGCAGATAGTGGAAAAGCTTGTTGAAATTGCCACCCATACACATGAAGCAATTTCTGAGTTCCTTGGAAATCATAGTACGTGAATTCCTAAATCATTTTTGCTGTTTGTGTTCTGATCATGTATGTGCAAACTTTGTTTAAAAAATCCTAATTCTCTCTGAAAACAGATGGAGACTTATCTCTAGAGAATAGGTGTTTTTGATTCTTATAATCTTTTAAGATTTTATGAAAGTGTGGATTCATGGCAGGTGCAACCGTTGTTAAGTATAGTAAGGGTTCTCAAAGGCTAGGTGAAGCTGGTCTTGCGCTGCACTATGCTAACATTATAAATCAGATAAACATGATTGTAAGTTTGTGTCATGCTATTATAATTAAATAGTAGTGAACATAACAAGTAGTTGTTTTGGTCTTAATAAAAAGTTTTTTTCTAACTTTATATTAGGCATCTCGACCAGCTGCTCTTCCTCCAAATATGAGGGACACATTGTATCATGGGTTGCCCAATAATATTAAGAATGCACTTCCTTCGCGGTTGCAAAACGTTGATGCCACCAAAGGGGTATGTTCTGGCTAGTTCCTTTCCTTTCCCTTTTAATGTTAGGTTTTTTTTATTATTATTATTCTTTAGTTTTGAGTTTTTTTTTTTTTTGTATCACCTGCTAAGATTGGAGTTTTGTTTGCTAACTGGAATTTTTTCTGTAGCTCTCTATCACTCAGGTCAAAGCTGAAATGGACAAGACTCTCCAGTGGCTTACTCCATTTGCCACAAACACGACCAAGTAAGGACATTTATTTCAAAATCCCCTTTTACTTTTATGGCTGCAAATAAAACATGTAATTATATCATTCAAAAATGTTATTTGTGTTTCTCTGATGTTGGAAAGTTTCCATTTATACAAAACAAAGCTCTGAAATTGTTAACTTACCATCAAGTTCACCTAAAAACAAAATTTTATAAGTCAAAACTTTAATTGTATATTGCCACTTATGGCTGATTGACCAAAGCGATATACTTTAAAAAAAATTAAAATAATATAATTTAAAAATTACTTATCAAAATAATAAAATTTGATTTCTTTTGATCATATGAATCTCACAAACGTGATACAAATCAGTGTTACGATGATGACACGTTACATTTATGGAACTGTATGGTCAATAATATCAAACTATATGATTTGATAAATAATTTTCAAATTATATTATTACCACTTTGATGAATTAGTCCACTTATACCTGCTCGCTGATTTTTATTGTCATTTGAAAAAATAAGTCACGGATCCCTGAAAATGCTTATTCATGTTGTGTTTGCTTTATTTATTTATTTATTTATTTATTTTTCTTATTCATATATCTGGCAGAGCACATCAAGGTTTTGGATGGGTTGGAGAATGGGCAAATACAAGGTTAGTTAATAGTTATTGTACTTAAATGACAATTCTAGTAAGCAAGGAAGGTTTGTGATAATTTTTGCTATGGTTTGCAGCAATGACTTTGGTGATAACACAGTCAAAGAAAATAACCTGATTCGCCTCCAGACACTTTATTACGCTGACAAGCAGAAGATGGATTTTTACATCCTTGAATTGTTGACTTGGCTTAACCATTTGATAAGCTTTGTAAGATACAGACACAATGCCACAAAGCCAATGCCTACACGAAGTTCAACCAAGGGACTTGATTTTCAGTCAAAGATGCTGAAATTTTTATCCTTAGACAATTTTAACAAGCCACTGGGAACTCAACTTTCTCAAGAGGATAGGACTTTATTGGAACAGGTAACAAAGAGAAGAAGTACACCAGGTGTTAGCAAAAGTGAGGATCTAGAGGTTGTGACCAAGAATAGAGAAGCCTGCAGAGTTTTAGTTTCTAGCAAGAGTGTTGGGAGTACCCCTACAAGACAAGGCCTTGAGCACCGAAACTCTAAAGTTTTGGACTCTATGGATGGGCTATAAGATACTGAAAATACTGTTGGTCTATTTTTTGCCTCCCAATATATTAACATTACATTTCTTTTTTAATCTTGAAACTTTCTGTATCTAAACCAAGGACTAGTCTTATTGTTTGCTTTTCAAGTTTTTTGTTTTTTTGTACATTACTTTTGAAGTTATTTTTGTATAGGAAAGTAAGATGGATCAACATTTGATATTTTTGAAGGATAGGGAAAAAAAAAAAGATATAAGCTTTTTTATGTTCAATTCGATGATATAAATGGCATGCACATTTTTAAAATGTAAACCTCAAAAAAGTGAATTAAGTAAAAAAAGTAAAAGCACATATATAAGCACACCACTAGGGTTAGCCTAGTGGTGTGGGGTTTGTGTGTTAGAAGTGTGTGTAGTGTAAGGTGTTGTGTTCAATTCTTTGTAACCTACCAAAAAAAAAAAAAAAAGTAAAAACACTAGATAAACAGAATTTTCGCCTTCTTTACTTCTTTATTTCATCGACAATGGTAAAATTCTGATTATATTGTGCAGTGTAATAATACTAATGAAATAAAATTGTGCATAGAGGACCTTATTTTAAAAAATTAAATTATATTGCCGTTAGTGCGGAGACTGCAAATCAATTTTTTAAGATTTTAATGTTTATCTTTTTAAAAAATATAGAATTATGTAATTTTAAATGAAAAAAAATACACAATAAAAATCATAAGTGAAGAAAATGAAAGATTTTTCTTTAAGTGATAAGTGAAAATCATGAAAATCTGCCTACGTAATTTTGCAACGTTGACAACTAACGAGTAATTATTCACTTTTATCCCAATTTTCCTCTCCATAATTATTTATTATTGTCTTTAGTTAATTAAAAGCTCAAAAAATTAGACGATCCACTTTTCAAAAACAACATAATTTCAATATAATTTATCTTTATATTATTGTCTTTAGTTAATTAAAAGCTCAAAAAATTAGACGATCCACTTTTCAAAAACAATATAATTTCAATATAATTTATCTTTATATTATTGTCTTTAGTTAATTAAAAGCTCAAAAAATTAGACGATCCACTTTTCAAAAACAATATAATTTCGATATAATTTATCTTTATATTAAGACATATTATAAGTACAATATAAACGCATCCCAGTGAAAATAATGTAGAAAATGCAAATAGATAGAACTTACTTTCCCATTAAAACATTTTATATGCTTACAAAAATTTTCAATATATTTTGGTCCTTCAGGTTAGGGATCAGATAAATCCAACGGAGGGTGCCCAATTGTCGTAACCAGGCTTGGGGCGAACACCCAACTCGCATAAAATCAGCGAGACACCACCACTCCTCATATCCCATTAACTGCCCGAAGGATCACGACTTTAAACGAAATAAGCTTGTCCTCTTATAGGAGCCAATTTAGTTGTCTGTCACGTTTCAACCGATGTGGAACCAGGACATAAATCACGCGCATTGCCTACTAACACCTCTTCGCTTGATAAACAACACTTACTCCAAGCCGTGCTTTTAGTTTTACGAACTAATTAAGCAATCGAAGTTAAACAAGATCAAATTTATCCGTGCAAACCCATTTTCATATTACCGTGTCGCTGAATTTTGCAAATATTTGGCTGCAAATTATGTGCTACAAAATTGAGGCCCTCAACAACGGTTATAATTTGACGGATCCGGATTGCTCAATTGTGTTTGTTTTCCAATCCCTTCTGATCAGCACATTAATTTCTAGCCTGGCGTTGCTTTGAATTGTAAAAAACACATGCCATTCTTGGAACTCTAAATAAATGAAAATCATTATTCAGTAGAAACAAGGGATGCTTTGGGTTCTGGTGGATTCAGACTTATGGACCAAACTCGACCAAATATAACTATTCTGACTTGGGCATTTCTCAGCAACAAATTTTGGATAGATCATCACGGTTCCTAGTGCTTATGCGCTGTTCATGTGCCAAGGTAAGCCCTTCGTTTTTGTTCTTATGTACCATTTTATTTCTATGTCATCTTGGTGGCATGTTTTGTACCTTGTATTCATGGCGTCTCCTAAAAAAATTTCTATTCTATTTCTATGTCATGTTGGTGGCATTTTTTGTACCATCTATTCTATTTCTATAACACGGGCCGGCCTGCCTTTGCATCATATTGATGTGTTCTCAAATATTGGGCGGTTGTTAAAAATTGTTATCACTACAGTTCCTCTTGCTCAACGCGTAATAGAATAATACAAACGCATTTTTTCATTTTATTTTGTAAAAATTAAGAGGTTTGACTATGAATCATTTTAAATTTATTTCATTTCTTCAAGAATATATTATATATGTATTTTTTGGGCTTTATTAATATCACGTTGTAAGAGAGTAGTTCTCTCATATCATAGACACAATCATGGATAAGATCCACTCACTTATAAAAAATAAAAATTAAAAATTAAACTACACGAGAATCGATAGGTGTGTAGAAAAGAGAATTACTCTCTAACAACATGGGAGTAGTTTTTCCCAAATTCTTTATACAAAATTGATTTGATTTATTTCAAGTATGTATATATCAAGTCAATAGATTCATTCGGGAGTTATGAACTAACCTGGAGCTCATGTTCACACTGAACTCTACACTTTTGTAATTGATTCCAAAGGTAATCAACCTCACTTATATCTCTCAATTTTGACATATTTCTCTTATCTAAGCTCTTAAGCAATATCATAGTTCAAAGACTAAAGCTAATCATGACCAAGCTTATATCACCCGTATAGGTTATTTTTTTCCACATAGAGGACAATATAATCATTGCCCATGAATTTATCCATATGATGCACAAGATAAGAGTAGGAAAGCGCACACCGTGGTAAAGGTGGATATAGAAAAAGCTTACGATAGAATTAGTTGAGAGTTTCTTTACCATACTACATAAGAAATTCAACTACCGAATGAATCAATCCAACTCAAAATCATGACACTAACTTCTTCAAAGATCAATATCTTGTAGAATGGGACAAAAACAAAATAATTTAAACCCTTAAGAGGCATGTGGTAAGAAGACCAATTATCCCCTTACCTCTTCGCTATGGGGATGGAAAAGTTCTCTCACATAATAAACATCACAATGGAGGAGGATTATGGAAACCAATATTAAGGGTGGAGAAAAATGGTTCAAAAATGTCTCACCTTATTTTTGTCGATGATTTAATACTTATTTTGAAGGATAGTAATGACCAATCAGATATAATATTAAAGTGCATCACCTTGTTTGGGGAGGTTTATGGACAAAAGGTGATTATCCAAAAAATAAGTATATTTTTTTGTAAACACACATTCGAAGATGCTGGACACAAAATCACTAAAGATAATGGTTTCAAAGGAGTTAAAATGACAGCAACTATTTAGGTGCTTGGATTCAAAATGGTAGAGTGATGAAGTCAACTTATACTTGTATAGTGGGAAGAGTTTGTGACCGTCTACAAGGGTGGAAAGTCAAATGCCTATCCTAATCAAGTAAGATCCCTCTCTCCATGTTTGTGTTATCAATGATGTCTTTCTTTCACATGCAATATGTAGAAATTCTCTTATCGTCTATAGAGAGTGTTGAACCATAGGTTATCAAGATCTTGAAAATGAAGTTTTGATGATCACAAAGCACTAATAAAGCACCAAGGACCTCAACATGGTTGCACAATATAGAAGGCATTGCAATAAGTTATAAATGTTATTAGAAGGCAAAGGCAAAGTGCAAATGTGAGAGAACTATAGAAATGTGCAAAGTCAACTGTGAAGTCAAAGTTTTCAAACTTATACAAGTACTATAAGGCTCAAAGTATGAAGTCAAGCGAAGACAAAAAAGATTCAATGCTTACATTGTTCGTAATGTTGTTTTAGAGTCTTAGAACTTAGAGTGAGTTTCCTGAGCTTTAACTTGAGGATTGCATTTAGAAGTCATAAACCCATTGGTAGTGTTCTTAAGCCTTGAAAACCACTAGATATTGAGAAAAACCTCCCCAATGTCCACGGCCCTTTTCCTTAGATTTGTGTTCATGGTGTTGATTGATGCTTCAATGGTTTAGTATGTCTTGGAGGAGCCTTGTGCCAAGCTTTTGAATAAGTTTCCTTGCATTTCAATGGTTTGATTCATGGATTTTGTTTCATGAACCCTAAGCTTGTTTTGATGATTTGTGTTGTTAGAGAGCTCAAATGGAAAATGTGTATTAGATGATTATGTCTTAGAATGATGTGTTAGAGCTATAAATGCAATAAAAATTATTGGTGAAAATATGATTTTAACTTAGGAAAATTTTGATGGTGCCATTACTTTATGTTTTGGAATTGTGATAGGATTGTGTAATTGGATTATTGTAGGGTTATATGATGTTATAATAGGATGGTATGAGTGTGGAGTAGTGGAATTGGATTGAAAATCCTTTAAGGTGTACCTATGTACAATTCGGCCAAATTGGAATAAATAGGGAATTGATGTTGTTAAAATTGTTTGGATGTTGTGTTGTGTGGTAAATGGTAATTAGATGGGTTGTGTGATGGTTGGAAGCTTTGAAAAGCAATAGAAAAATAATGGAGTGTATTGAATGGTGTGTTGTCCCTAGAAGGAAATAATTGGGCAAAATGATGTTAGGATGATGTAAAATGAAAAGTGACACCTAAAATGGTGTTTCGGTAACCTAGGGATGCCTAAGAAAAATGAAAAGAAAATTTAGAAAAATAAATTGTAAAAATGCACTAATTTGGCTGAACCTCACTATGTGGGGGGAGGGAAAATTGTCGTTTTGCGAATTTGATGATTTACCGTATTCTGACAGAACGACAATGATGATTTACCGTATTCTGACGATCCGTATATGGTCGGGAAGGTTGCCATACGTGGATTTGAACCCCCGAACCGTGAGCTCGGTGGGTTGCCCTTGGTTTCGGACCAAGTGGGATTGAGGCATTTCTGTTGTGTAACGAGCTCGGAATATATATTGCAGTGGAGCGACGTTGAGAGGATTATACAGGTAACCTCTTGGTACTGGGGCTTGATCCCCTTGTGTGTTCCACCATGTCCGTTGAGGGTGATGGTAGGAAGTGTATGTAAGTAATATAGCATAATACCTCGCAATTCTAAATCAAATATTAAAATATTAAATGAGAATTAAAGGGAAGGATTAGTGAAAATCTTGAAAAATAGGCCAAAATATAAAGAAATGGCAAAACGGTAATTAGCCAACACGCAAACCTAGGAAGATAAAAATTGAGTAGAAGGTCTCAGATGATAAAAATAGCCCTGGAAATGGATTCAGAACGAAAAATTGAGTGGTTAGGCAAGTTTCAGAAAATTCAGTAAATAGTGTTTTTACCGGGTAAAAAATATTGCGGTACAGTTGCACCGTAAAGCGTGCTGATTGGGTTTTGAGCTCTAGGTTTTAAATATGAGTTATAAATGGTTTATAGAACTAGGGAATATGGTTTCTGATAAAATTTGATGGAAATAAGTACGTTTGGGGAAGCGTGCCAACGGCGCGCGCAACAGCGCGCGCAACAGCTTAAAACAGCATTTCCTCCGAACGACCGGAAAACTCCGGATTCATCTGATCAAGGGTAAATAAAGGACAATGGTTAATGTTAAAAATTAGAGTTTCTAATTGGTTTAGGAAATTATGAACGTTTAGCGGAATAGGAGAGAAATTGGAGTTAGTTTGAAATCGCGTGAGGTGGGGGTGGGGCCCACCTCACTTAAGTGGACTTAATCCACATGGCATGACACAAAATTTCAACACCTTCTCTCTCCTCCCTTCCTCTCCACCCGCGGCCTTCCTCCATGGATGAGCAAGAATGAGCTTGAAACTTTAATCAACCATAACTCCACCAATACTTAACCAAATCCATTGATTCTTGCTTGAAATTTGTTGGAAATCATCATCCGAACACAACCCATCGATTAGTTTTCCTTGAAACCCTCTCATTTGAGAGATATGAGGCAAAACTAGCAGCGAAATTCAAGGGATTTTTGGAGTTGATTGCTCAAGTCATTGCTTGGGGATCACTAGGAGGAATCTTGTGACTTGATTGTAGGTAAGTTTCAACACCTCTCATGGTTGATTTGATGAGTTTGATTTTCATGATCCCTAAAGAGGGCTTGGTTGATTGATGTGTTTAGAGAGCTCAAATGGAAAATGTTTGTACATGAATATGTCTTAGAATGATGTGTAGTATCCATAAATGCAATAAAAATTATTGATGAAAAATGTGAAATTTTAACTTAGAAGAATTTTAGGATGTCAAGACTTTGAGTTTTGGAAATGTGTTAGGATTGGATTGATGAGTTGTTGTATGATTGTATGTTGATATAATGAGATT